GATCCGCCAGGTTCACAGCGCGGGCATCGCTCTCCGATTTGCGGCGCAACAGGTGAGGCCTACCTGAGGTCCTTTGGAATTCCGTCAGATCCGGATTGGAATGTGTGCCGCGTCCCAGCAGCTGGCGCTGCCGCAGCAGCTTTCGTGTGCTCAAAGAGCGTTTCGGTGACGTTGTCGCTGGGCTGCTGCTGCCGCCGTTGTTGTTGTTGTTGTTATTGTTGTTGTTGGCTTTCTTGAAGAGCGTCGCTTTCGCGCTGCTGACAGAGCTCTGGCTGAATTGAGTATCCCGTTTCCTTAGTGCACGCAGTGACATTGCTTAAATTGTTGAGCTGATGCGAAAAATGTTGCTTATTGCCACATGACTGTTAATTGTTCAGCCCGCATCGTCTATATATATACACATATATATATGTATTTAAGTGCTTGGCTTGTTTTCTTTTCGCACAAACCAATACGAGCTGCGTAGTTCAGCGTGGAACTGGTTCAATGAACGGAGCGTGCGCTTGAAGTTGGCTGCGCGCAAAGTGGGGTCACACTCATTTGAAGTTGGCTGCGCGCGTAGCCAGTGCTGCCAAATCACTATTTAATCGATGTACAACAAATTCGAATATTCACATTTAACGTGCCCTTGCCTGTAAACACAGTCAGTATGAAAATAACAGCAAATGAAAAACAGCCCATCCCACAACTTGGTTGACGTATTTTTAGGTTAAGTATTAAACAGTTCAAATAATAGCTGCGCGCGAAACCAGTGCTGCCAATACAATTTAGTCGATGTACACGAAATTCAAATATTCGCATTTTGGTTTGTTGCGTGCTTTGCTTGTAAACAAAATCAATCGAATAATAATAATTAATATGACGTGCGTAAGGCATCTATACATGATATTAATAATTATATATATCTATATATATAAGTATAAGAAAATAACAATAAGCTGCGCGCGAAGCTAGTGCTGCCAATGCACATTAAAAGTGCCCAATTTGAACCTCCTCGCCTTAAATATAGTTGATTGATTCGAAAAGACGAGTAATTTTGTGTGCCATTGCTTTTTATTTAAACAAAATCAATATCAAAATAATAAATTAAAGGGCTTCCGCATGATTCTAAGCAGTCGGGGCATTGACAAAAGCGCCCGCAAACAAAATATTCCGCTTGTTCCAGATGACATACAAAAACGGGCGATCCGCCTGGAATTGCAACGGCATCAGCATCATGCGCGTCATCATGATGATGCCGGTGGCAGCGGCCGCCTCGGTGCCCTCCTCGTTCACCTCAATTGTCGCCTTGTGCACAACCTTTGAGACAAAAATGCCCTCCGGTGATTCCAGCAGATTATCGAATTCGGCGCCCTCGTTAAACATTTTCGTGATGCCCAGCTGGCGGCGAAACAGAACAATGAATAATCATGTCGATATTATAAAAATAAACAATGAACAAATACATTATTGATGAGCTCACGGCTCAGCACACACACTTAAGATAAGATATGCGAGTGCAGCGCAAGGCGCTTACATAATGCCCGATACATGATCTTAAATGGGAACCGCAAAATGCGCCAACTAAATATAAATACCCTATAAATAATCTTTCAGGCATTTGCATGATAAGCCACCGAAACGAACCAACGATAAGAGCTTGACATGAAGATATTGAGAAACTGGGGACGTGTCAACACAGAACACAGATTACCCACCTGCTGCAGCTTGTCGGCCAGCTCGATGGAGTAGTCCACCTTGAATTTGGGAAACTTGACGGTCACCTCCTCGACGGCCAGCTTGGCGGCCAGGTCCACCAGATTGACGCTCTTTAGCTTCTCGGCCAGCGATTTGAGGCCCTCGCGCTCCTGCGGCAGAAGCACCAGCATGGACAAATCGGTATCCTTGTAGGGCATATCCAGTGCGGTGCAGTCCAGATCCTCGAAATAGCCATAGCCAAATTTGGCCTTCTGATTCATGTAGCTAACCTTGATGCTCTGCTCCTCGGCTATCCAGAAATCATCCACAGCTGTGCGCGATTCATCGAACTTGTGCGCCCAGCTGCCCTTGAAGTGCAGCGCATTGAGCAGCACCAGGCGCGTGTTCTCATCGAAGCTATCGGCGGTCACCAATTCGGTGATCTTGCCCTCCGTCTTGGCATTCACCCAGCCGTTAATCGATTGGGCAGCCGCTGCGCCAAGCGCAAAGTTAATGGACTCCGCCTCCGTGTTGTAGTCCGACTTGATGGTCGACTCGTAGCTGGCCTTCAGCTGCTTGCCCTGCTGCACGTACAGCTTGTTGGCCACCTTCAGCAGTTCGCTGTCCTTGTACTTCTGCAGCACAAACTGAAAGGTTTGCGCCACCTCCGGCCCAAAATTGGATACAAAATGCAGGCCCTTGGCTATCTCATCGGCCGTCTCGCCCTGGGCGCCGGCAAAGGCCAGCGCCAGGCATGCCTGTATGGAGAACGGTGAGAAGACAATGTTCTGCTGTAGCCCGCCGGCGGCCAGCAGCTGGAACAGTTCGCTGGTGAACGAGGCGCCGCCACGCGCAAATTCCAAATTGAAATCGAACATATTTTCTATTTGTGGGCGAAAACGGGGCGGGAGTATGAGAAATGCGTAATCGTATAATTTACTTTCTGTGCGCTTACAATTGTTAACTGTGCGTGTGTGTGAGAGAGCGTGCGTCCAATACGTTTAGCTGCCTGAACTGGAATGTTTTTTGGGCCACAAAAGCAGCGGCAGCGCCAGCAGCGCTGCTGCGCCCACGAAAGCGTCGCTGCCCATGAGTCACACGAAACAGCGGTAAATGAGGGCGGCGTTGTTGACGCTTCAGTTAACGGACATTTGCTGCGTGATTTATGTGCGGCGCTTTTGTCAACAATGTTAATATCTTTGGCTTGTTTATTATTAATTTGTTTTGTGTGCAATTTCATTTCTAAAATGTCAGCTGCAATTTTAAACTGTATTTTGAAGCGAACAGCTGTTTGAAAACGATAAATTTAAGCGATGATTTGCTATCGATAACAGCGCTGCGCCAACCAGCTCGATAGCAGCTGGAACTAGTTCACTCGCACAATACGAATCGTTACTTGCGCTTCTTCAGCAACTTTTTTGGCGGCTCAGACGCGAATTTTTTTTTTTCTATTTTCAGCAAAAGTGCAAATCTAGCTTATCACGCAACGGGTAAGTACGGTTACACGCCCAGCCAACTGATTAACGCGAATTTTGCACCGTTCTAGTCCCAGCACACGAAACAATGAAAAGCGCAATTCATTGCGTGCTTTTAATTATCGCAACAGCTGCGGCTGTGCTTGCCACAGAACGCAGGGCGTATGGGCGCAGCTTTGTGAATCCGTATCCGCGCTATGCGTACTTTAACGACGGCGTCGATCCGGGCCAGCCGCTTTTCCTCACCCCGCTGATCCACGACGACAAGCTGCCCAGGGAGCATGTGCGTCAATTGGCGCGCGTTAATGGCAGCCAGTTTCATGGCGTGGAGAGCTATGCGGGCTATCTGACCGTGGATCAGGGCTACAAATCGAATATGTTCTTTTGGTATTTCCCGAGTGAGACGGATACGGATTATGCGCCCGTTGTGCTGTGGCTGCAGGGCGGACCCGGCGCCTCGTCGCTGTTCGGCCTGTTCACAGAGAACGGTCCGCTCCAGCTGGACAAGCAGGGCAAGCTGCAGAAGCGCAATTATACCTGGAGCAAGACGCACAATTTGATCTACATTGACAATCCCGTCGGCACCGGCTTTAGCTTTACCGAACACGATGAGGGCTATGCGCGCAACGAGAAGGATGTGGGCCGTAATCTGCACGAGGCTGTGATGCAGCTGTACGAGCTGTTCGAGTGGAGCAGCAATGCGGGCTTCTGGGTCACCGGCGAATCGTATGCCGGCAAATATGTGCCCGCCCTGGCCTATCATATACACAAGGTGCAGAATTCGATTGAGGCGCGTGTCCATATTCCGCTCAAGGGCGTGGCCATTGGCAACGGCCTGTCCGATCCGCTGCACCAGCTCAAGTACGGCGACTATCTCTACCAGCTGGGCCTGATCGACGACAACGGCCTGGTCCAGTTTCACGATGCGGAGACAAAGGGGGCCGAGTGCATCGAGAAGCGGGACATGAACTGCGCCTTCGATGTCTTCGATTCGCTCATTAATGGCGACATGACCAACGGCTCCCTTTTCAGCAACCTGACCGGCTACAGCTGGTATTACAATTATCTGCTCACGCATCCGGATGGCTCGGAGTCCAAGCTGGGTGACTTTCTGCAGGCAGGCGCCACACGTCGCGCCATACACGTGGGCAACATGACGTTCCACGATCTGGACAAAGAGAACAAGGTGGAGATGCATCTGAAACAGGATGTCATGGACAGTGTCGCGCCCTGGATAGCCGAGCTCCTGAACGACTATACCGTCTGCATCTACAGCGGCCAATTGGACATTATTGTCGCGTATCCCTTGACCCGCAACTATCTGCAGAAACTCAAGTTCAAGGATGCAGCCAAATATAAGATCGCACCCCGTGAAATCTGGCGCATCGATGGCGAGGTGGCCGGCTATGTGAAGCATGCCGGGCATCTGGTCGAGATAATGGTACGCAATGCCGGTCATATGGCGCCGCACGATCAGCCCAAATGGCTCTACGAGATGATCGATCATCTCACTCACTACAAGCATTAAAATGTTGATGGTTTCTTGAGTGCAGCTAAAAAGCACCTAAAAAAAACAGCTTTAAATTTAAAAATTCAATTTAAAAATGTAAATCTGAGATCGTTTATTGTCGATTGTACTTAAGCTTAAATTAAATTCGAAATGGTTATTAAAGAAGTATAAAATGGAACAAAATGTAATAATATAAATAGAAACAGGGACTTTCCCGTTTAGAGTTTTATAAACTTATTATTTAAATTTCGCGCGCTTTTCCTAACTCACCTAATTGACAGGGTGACCATATTGCAAACAGCTGTTAGAGTAACCAACATTGCGCTTAAATATTGCCAAATTTAGTTTACTCTGGTCACCTTAATCGGTTTTGTTTACGTTTTGTCGGCATTTCAGCTTATTTCACAACTAAAACTAAAATTAAGCAAAAATGTCGCAAACGGATTTGAGCAAAAGCATTGAGATAATTACCAAAACGGAGGAGCTGGCCGATAAGATCCTGGTCAACAAGCAGGAGCTAACTGTAATGGACAAACGGCGCCAGCAAAACCGGGAAGCGCTGCGTTTGATAGAAAAGTCTGAGGAGCCAAAAGTTTGGATAACAATAGGCAGCATGTTGGTCAAAATGAAGCGAGAACGAGCCGTGGAGCTGCTCAAAAAAGGTAACTAATCATATACAGTTATGCGTGCATGCATATATATGAGTTCGATTTGCAGATCAGGAACAAATCAATCAACAAATCAATGTGATATATTCCGATCAGAAGATTCTGGTAAACAAACATCGCGACGTCGAGTTCAAATCACCCTTCTCTGGCACCAATTTGAAGGCTCTGGATCGCGCAGAATTCGATGCGTTAAAGGCCAATTTGCCCATGCTTTAATTAATACGAAAACAATGTGTAATTTAGCAATCAGTAAAATAAATAAGTCGCATGTGTTATTGTTTAGCGCCGATTTTGAACGTTTTCCAACACCAACGATAAGCTTTTTTTGGCGTAAGAAAAAGCTCCCGACCTGGCAACTCTGGCAATCGTGGCTCTCTCCACGCTCACCATTTGTTGTTGCGCCTCGTAATCGCGGTGTCGTCTGGTTTTGCGTTGTCTCTGGTTGTTTCTAAATTCTGTGAAATTCAACTAACAAGCTAAACAAATTATTTAACGCAACTAAAAACCAATTGCGTCGCAACTTATCACAGTGCTCGGGACAAGTGAACAGAAATTCCAAAATTTGGCAAATCATTTGTAACAGAAACGTGCGTTTATGTCGGGTTGCCAGAGTGTGTGCTGCTGCGACGAATTCCAGTGTGTGAGATTGTGTGTGTGGTGAATTTAGGCTCTCCCCCAACATTCCACCCCTCCCCCCACCCCTTAACAGCAGCGGCGTGCAAAAAGCAAAATTTTAGTGCAAATAAATTGCTTTGCTTATCTCGGCGCGCGCGCTCGCATGATATGGCTAAGTGTGCGTGTGCGTATGCGAGTGTGTGTGTGTGTGTGTGTGTGCTGTGTGTAAGTTTGAGTGCTGTTAATTAATTTACAAAGCCGCCAGCGTCAGGCTCGAGTGTGCACTCTTGCAAATAACATATACAAATTTTGTAAATTTCTTGATTTGGCTGCAAAAAAGAAAATGTTACGCGTGCTATAAACAAACGCGACTATTCCCATTGTGAACAACGCGCGCGTTCCACTAAAAAGAAAACAGCCAACAACAACAACAACAACAATAATAACAATAAACACAGGAGGTGCTGGCGGTTCGTGTACTTGAAAACGAAAGTTCTTTTGCATGCAAACGGTTGCGCATAAAAAAAACCACACACACGTACGCCAACACACACGCACACACACACACAGAGGCAGTGCTCGCAAATCGCAAAAAGAGAGAGATAGAGGAGAGCGCAGCTGAGCACAGCAAAAGACAGAGAGGAGGCGCCGTGGCCACTTGGCCTTGAACTTGTGCGGCGCGGGAGCGCAGCGGTAAGTTGAAATTGCCTTGCTGCTTGTCGGCCTTTGGCTAGTTTTGTCTCCTTTGGTTCTGCTTCTTCTTCTTCTTCTTCTTCTTATTTTTTTGCTGCTGCTGTGTCTATTTTAAAATTGATTGCAGGCAATGCTGAGTTATTTTTATCGAGCCTTTATGGATATTAAGGCTGAGCCTAAACCGCTACCACTAACTGCCCTCTGCTTGTGTGTGTGTGTGTGTGTGTGTGTTTGCTTTCTATGTGCAACTCTCCTCTCTCCTATACGCTGACTATATTTTGTGTCTGTTGTGTGCTTGACCAGCGCAAACTGCTTTATCAGCACGCTTGGCGCTGGTTAAAACTCGTCTATCCACTTTAATAGTTTTGTTATGCATATTGGAAAAAGCCCAAGCTCTGTGGCCCCTAGGGCTGTGTGCATGTCTGTGCTTGTGTGTTTGTGTACTTTGATTGCAGCATAGCCGCAGCGCAGCGCAGCGCTCATCAAATCAAGTGACGAGCAGCCCGACCCCCCCTCGGCTCACACATTATGCAGCAAACAGCAGCCGGATAGCAGCGGCAACTGATAGCAGAAGAGAGCGCGAATCATTGCCCAAACGTGGTGGATCAATGACACTTCCCCACATGCTGTGCTCTCTTGAGCGGCTCTCATTTGTGACAGGAAGAGAGGCGCCGCAAGTGGGCTGCTGATCAGTACAGATAAATTGTTGCTGTAGAACAGTTTTATATATGCTGCTATTCGCAGGCTTCTCTTTCAAGCTGAGCATCGGCTGGGTCTGGCTGTTGCCTGTGCGTGTTGTAAACTGACGTTTAATTCGCTCTCAGGGCCAGTGTGTGCACTCCTGATTAATCACACACACACACACACATGCATGTGTGCGCTCTGTATGCCATTTACATGGGCAATTGAATACAGTTACCTCACATGAGTGAATAAAACCCAAACGGTAATATTATTTAGAGTATGTACACACACACACACTCACATATATAACAGTTAAATTATAACTTTGTGCTGTTGTTGTTTTTGACTACTCGGGGGTTTTTTTTTATTATTATTTTAATTTATTCATTTGCACAGAAAAGTACACAAATTTTCCCTATCATTAGCTTACACTGCACGATACGTTTAAGGGCCAATCAATTTAACATTTTATTTGGACAGTGTTGTGAGAGTAATCAGAAGCTGTTGCGAGAACAAGCACAGATACACCACACACACACACATACACATACACATAGATATGTATGTGTGCATGTAAATAACTTGATGCAACTATTTATCGATAGTATTACTCAGAGGCTGAGCTAAGCTCAACGATAAGCATAAGCCAAGATTAGTTCAAGGAAGTAAATATTAAGTTCTTAATTTTGTAATATTTATTTCCTTGACAAATTTAAGTTTTTCTTTCAGTCAAAAATCAATTGGAAACTAACAAGATTTATGCGTTATTTGTTAGGCAAAGTCTTTACTCTTCGACTTAACTTTGATTGGGTTTTTAATTTCCTATATAAATCTTCTCTTTCACACCTTTGTCATCAGATGCTATGTTAATCTTTTCTAGCAAATATACACATATATTTATTTATTATTATTTGTTTTTGGCATAACAATTGTTAAATAGTTTTACAAGCAAAACGAGTTTTTCGCAGTACACGAAATAAATGCCGTTGTTGTTGTTGTTGTTCTTATTGTGCTGTCTTTATGTATGAGCTTTAATATAATTTGTAAAAATATGCGAATTAATGTTTGAAAACTTGTTTTCACACATGGATTTGGCTAAGAACGAATGAAAAAAGGAAAAAAAAATCAAATTGTATCTATTGTGAACGTCGCAGTGTTAAAAACGCAATATGAAGAGTAAGAGTAAGTCAATAAAAATGTTATTCACAAAATACCTTCTAGATAAACCACAAACTAGTTATCGATGCATTCCTGAGCGGATAGTTTCCATCGAAGAGTTAAATAGATAAATGAAAAAGGAATATCGTTAGCAAACCTTTCATTGTTGTTGTTGTAAAGGATCTGCTTGCTTACAATGTGGTTGGCTGTACCTTGTAAATTGTAAAATACCTTTCGGATAAACCACAAACTAGTTATTGATGCATTCCTCAGCGGATAGTTTTTATTAAAGAGTTAAGTGATAGACAAATGAAAAAGAAATATCGTTAGCAGAGCTTTCATTGCTGTTGTTGCTGTTGTTGTTGTTGTAAAGGATCTGCTTGGAATTTGCAATGTGGTTGGCTGTACATTGTAAATTGTAAAATGCTGCCTGGCAGTCTGATTAATTATGGGTTGTCTCTTGTGTTCGCCTGTCGTTCAAAACTCAAACTAGACGTTGCACCGTCCGGCCGTCCGCCCGTCCGTCTGTCTGTCCGTCCGGTCCGTCTGTTGATCTGAGCCGGTTGTGTGTGGCAGGCGCAGCAAGTGCAGCGCCGGTTTTCTGTTCGCGTTGTTCCGCGTTGATTTGTATTTTATAATTTCAGGCACGTTGCACGATCATTTTAAAGTTGTTGTTGCTTTTGCTGCTGTAGCTTTTTGCATTGATTTAGCTGCATACACTACATTCCCAATGGCTAACGAAAAATTTTCCATTTACTTAACACATGCACAAACACACGTACACAGTATATAGAGTGTACATATAGCTAAGCACATCAATATTTAAAGCGAATCTATTAAATAATATTAATTCAATTTGAATCTCAAGCTGATTTACAGCTGATTGGCAGCGCTTGCCAAAGAGAGTAAATGAAAGAGCGAGCGAGGGAGAACGAGAGAGAGAGAGCGAGAGAGCGGCATGAAAGGCAGACAAGCGGTCGGTCGCATTTGTTTGGCGTTCTTATATGCGTCAGCAGCAGCAGCAGCAGGCTGACGACTTGAGAAATTCAATAATAAAACGCAGAGCATGATAATATGTATGTGCACTCATACACATGTGCATACAGTACATGTACAATTGTACAACATTAAACAACAGCAACAACACAAAGAAAAGCTCACCACGCGATGTTGCTTAAAGAGCGCCGCAAAGACACACAAAACCAAATTGAGTTAGGAACAGGAGCAGCAGCCACTTGTTGATGCCCGAGAAAGAGAAAGAGAGAGAGAGAGCGCGCGCGCGCGTGCCAGAGAGCGCGCCTTAACAGAACTCACCATGGTGGCATCGATTGTGGTGTGATATTTGTGCCTACCCTTTTTGCTTCCCCTCTTTTGCAAACACACAAGCACACACACACACACGCACATCAAATATGTGTGCGCGCGGGCCTCTTTCATTGCCCCCAAAGGCTGTTCGTGCGCTCCTTGCCAGCCCTTCCTTTTTCGTAAGCAGTTTTGCGCTGCTTCTGTGTGCGTGTGTGTGTGTGTGAAACTTATCAAGGTCGTCGCTTGGCGTTGCCGCCGCCGTTTTTGCTGCTGTAAGCGGGTTTTTCTACTTACACACACACACACACACACATGCACTCGTTTGCTCAGCCCCCTCAGCGGTAGTCGCCTTCCATCCTTTTGCGCAAAAATTCTTTAGCTTTTATGTTATTGGGTTTCTTTTTGTTGTTTTTTTCTCTTCTTCTTCTACTTCTCTTACATGCCATAGCTTTGCCGTTGTTTCTTTTACTCCCCTTTGACCAGTGTGTGTTGTGTTGTGTTGTTGTCTGTTTGAAGTGACGTTTGTTGTTGTTGTTGTTGTTGTTGGCATTATTGTTATTATTGCTGCTGCCCCCTGCCGCTAGTTTTATTTGATTTACTCAGTTCAGTTTACCATGACAGCCGCTTTGGCATTGTCTGCTTGGTTCTTTTGGCTGCTATTCACACGCACAACCCCCCCTACCCACACACACACACACACACACAGACACATCCCTTTCCCAAATACTTGATCTTGGCTTTTGTTTGCCAAATGTAAACATTGCCAAAATACCACTGAGATTTAACTTAATTGTTTGAAATTATTTTGTGAACTTAAAAAAGTTATAGAAATTAAGGGGCTAAATTAAATATATGTG